CCCTGCTCCGCCTCATTATTTTTAATTATAATTGTTCCTACTTACAGTATTACTATATACAAAATTCTACTATAAGGTTAAAATCTCTTTTGACAAAATTAATAAAAAGAAATTTACAATTTAATAAAAACAACGTTTCCGAAGCTTTTTTGAAAATTCTATATGTTCTTGATCCCCACAGTACCGGATCTTTAGGACTAGTTAGAAAATTTAATTTTGCGATTGGTTACTTCAACTTGTCTTAGTACTCTTTAGTACCGTCACCTCCCCTTCTTTATACTGTTCCAAGACTTCCTCTCTACTGTCCCAGTACTTCTTGTTAGTGACCCCACTGTCCCAAGACCCTTGCCCTAAGACGACTGTCCCAAGACTACTGTCCCAAGACTAGTGTCCCAAGACCACTGTCCGAAGACTACTGTCCCAAGACCCTTGCCCTAAGGCTACTGTCCCAAGACTAGTGTCCCAAGACCACTGTCCCAAGACTACTATCACAAGACCCTTGCCCTAAGACTACTGTCCCAAGACTACTGTCCCAAGACTGCTGTCCAAAGACTATTCACTAAGTGTCTGGATAGTAGGATCTCTTTTTCTTCGTTGTGGGGACTTTTTAGAACCACTGTACCGTGTACCACCACGTGAGCTCTAGTAAAAAAATTTCCCAAAATCCCTATCTTAATGGCCAAAATCCGAATACTCACCCCCCTGTATTTATCTCCCTCTCGTTGTTTCAGGCTATTTGAAACCCCAACTTCTTCGCAGGTATCTTGTGATCACCTGTTCGTTCAAATACCAACAACAAATTTTCACTAAAACATAAAAATTTAAACAGGAAAAATTATAAAAACAGAGAGATGAACCCAACTAAAATTCAAAGCTGACTGATGTCAACCTTTGTCCGAAAAAATGTCTGGTACCCGATTGCCACGCCTTTTCCTCCCCCCTATTAGCGATCTTACGGGGTATCACAAAAACTGTCTATGTCCGTTCCCCCCTACCGATCCGACCAGGGTACCTACCTTAACTCAATGTTAAATTTGGATATCCGCTTCTTATAACCAACGCGTGTAAGTATCTAATGTAACTAAATCGACGATGCCGAACAATTAGTTACTCTAATGTGTCCCCCCTTACAACCGCCAACCTCTAACCTAACCAGCCCCCCTTCTAACCTCCCCCCTATTTAGCCCCCCTCTTAAGCCGAAAAATCCCTTAAGCGCCGGGTGCTAAACCTCTCGAGAGAAAACCATAGACCTGTTTCCAAGCCTGCTTGTGTAAAAACTTCCTCAAAACAATGGGGCTCCGTTTATCCAATTTTACACTTATTTCCTATAATGTAATGAGGATTTTAACGATACCCGTTTGCCCAACTTGAAAGCACCCCTGTGCGTCCTCTTCTTGTTGTAGCGATCTTGTGCTGGTTGTCCCCTTGACGTGCACTGCACTTGACACCAGCACCACCTTCCCACTTGGCTGGTCACCTCTTCCAGTCAAGTTTCCTAGCGGTTCAGCTCAGTCCTTGTGAACCACTTTCCCACTCGGCTGGTCACCTCTTCCAGTAAAGTCTCCTAGTGGTCCGGTTCTGTCCTTGTGAACCACTTTCCCACTCGGCTGGTCATCTCTTCCAGTCAGGTCTCCTAGAGGTCCGGCTAGGTTGCAAGCTATCTGAAAACCCTTAACAACGCCCCCCACTTGGGCACCTTATTGAAGTCACTGGTTTAGATTGCTAGATTGACCGAAACGGTCGGATTTGTAAAACAGTATGGGTATACTATTTAATTAATATAAAGGTTTGATTCAACTAATCTGGTATCGAAGTCACTGTCATTTTTTGTTTTATGATTTTTGGTCCTTTTTCTATATTTTTTTCTTGTTTTTGTCCCCCTAGTTACCCCCCTTACTCGGTAAGCTAAGCCTCGTTCGGAGAGCGTACCAGGAAGTTTTCTCAAGTTTTCTTAAAAAGCTATCACGGTATAACCGGAAGGTTTACACGTTCCCGCTGAACCGTACCACCGGTACTCTAGAATGGGCATGCAGCCCGGAGCTGTGTCAAGTGGGTTCGACTCCGTAGTCATGATGTCGTAAAAACACCCAGGAGCGCCATAAAAACACTATGTAACAGTCGCCTACTTCGGTCACATTTGAGGCTTAAGAAAAATAGGCCCTATAACCATTGGCTCAAGAGTCAGGGACACTATCTCTTGTGTTTTTCTACCTCAAAACTGGTTCACTCTGGTTCAGCTAGATTCCGATCTTCTTTTGTAATCACCGTCTCCTATATCAAGGTGGGACAGCTCTACTCTAGTTTTCTACGATGGAAATTTCGAATAGCAATTTCCCACTGTGTATATTTGATAACTTTCCCGCAATTGTAATTCGGTCGTTCTGATTTTATATTTTATGTTTTCAGTTGTCGCGAGAAAACTGAGCATGACAGGCTGCATTCGCAATTTTGAAAAATAAAGCTCCATTCCAAAACCACGTATTTTTGTGTTCCTCAAGGTCAAACTTCCAGATATGACCGACTGGCACAATAGAAAGAAAAAACCGTAAAGTGCTGACAAAGGACAGTGAGTTAGATTTCCAGTTTAGGTGGATCATACCTTCATATTAATTAATTTAAGAAAAAACTAAAACACAAAAGGGAACCTTCCGTTTAGTTACGGTAAGTGCACAAGCTGGATAAGGCCATACCAGCGTTATAAAAATGCATAAATGATAATAATAATCATAATAATAATAATAATAATAATATTAATAATCATAATAATGAAGGATTTAGGATAAGTTCCAGGGGAATTGCTTCCCTGTCACTTTGAGTTTATTGAGTATCATAGAAATTCAGTTATGCAGTATTGATGCAGTTTGTGCAGTCGCAGCATAATCTCCAGGTGCAGGGGAGGTTTTCGTTGAATTTCGCAGTGAAGCATCGCCAGTAGATAGTTGACAGTTCTTTGCATTGCTTTGATTTGATGACATGCTCGTTGCCAAAAATCAGATTCGCATTTTTTCAGTCGGAAGCATTTGCTGGTATAAAAGGTATTGCGTGTGATCTTGTTATGCCTGTATCAATAATCTGTACATACTTCTCCCAATCAATGTCAGTTTTCGAGTTGATAATCCTAGCAAAAAGTAAAACTACATGCATTTCATGATATAATGACAGTGGTAGTAAGTGAAGTCTTTAAAGACGCGATTTATATGAAAGGTTGTTTGTGCCTAATTTCCAGATACTTGCTCGATGTTGAACCTTCTCAATGAGTGCCAGTTCAGACTTGGATGGTTTCCAAAGAGACGATGCATAGCTGATTATTGGCACTACATATCCTCTGTATGCATTCTTCTTAGTGCTTATGGTCGAGCTATTGGCTAGGTTACTTTTTAAAGAGAAGAAAGCTTTTAGCGATTAAGCGGATCTAGTTTTAGCGTGTTCCGTCCAAGACAGGTTGTTTGTGACTATAGTTTGTCCAAGATCTTTCATAAGATCCGTTCCTGGTATATTCTGTTTTTTTCATGCAAACAGACATACTGCCTTTAAACTGAAGGGTTTTGCATTTACTTAGGTTCAAACTCATAAAATTCTTGGAGCACCAGTTCCAATAAATCAGCATTAAATGCATGTTAATTAATAGTATACTTGCTCGTTTGAAACTAATTTCATGAAGAAGAAGAAGAAGAAAGAACACTTGAATTTCTATACAATAAAGAGCCGAGGCATCAGTGTAGCAAAGTGTAAATAATAAAATTGGTTATAAATTCATTGGTTACATCAAACAAAAACAAAACATCAGAAAACAAGCAATAAAAAAAATCGGTTACAGTTCGGAAATTGGTTGATTAAAGTATATGAAGTTTCGGATACTATAGAAAAATAAAGATTTAAGAATTAGGAACAAGCTGGTAATAAAACTTTACAAACAATTTTACAGATAGTCCAATTATACAGCGTATATACAGAGTATATACAGTTTCTCTTTCAAGCAATGTGTGAAAAATTCAACTGAATTAAAACATAGAGAACTAGCAAAAGCGGAAATCACGCCACGTATTTGTATTAGTACATATAGGATTGTTTCTCAATTCACTCACGTGAAATTCTTTCAATTTTTTCTTGAATTCTGTTTTCGATTTTTCTAAATTGCGCAAAATTATGGGCAGTGAATTCCATTTTTTAGAAGTCAAATGAAAAAATGATTTTTGTAGAGAAGCAGTCGAACAATGTTTGTCAAAAATAATTTGTTTCGTTCTTTCGTTGAGCCTATAATTGGCAGTCGGTAGTCTCAGTGTATTTTCAAAAGCCTTCTTTTTGTTTGTAAGATATTGGTATAAGTATGTTATACACTTTAACTCAATTCTTTTCTCGATTCCAATGAACGATTTGCTAATGCGAAGAAGGGAAGAAGATTTAAATTTCGATCTGAAATATGTTCTTTTTAGCGCCCAGTTCAACTGTTTCTCCAGAGATAGCATCAAAGTAGCATTAATTTGTTGTAAAAAAATTGCTGAATAGTCTAAATGTGATAAAACAAGACAATGAAGCAAGGCAACTAATGATAATGTCGGCAGTTGTTGTCCAATTGTATCAATAGTTTTAATCCCTTGGGCCATTTTTTGGAGAATTGTTTTGATTTGAGCATGAAAAGATAAACTTGAATCAAGAATTATGCCTAAATATTTGCATTCTGATTTTTTGGCTACATAATGCCCACTAATTACTAGTTTATCAGTATCCACATTTTTGCTATCATTTTTTTGAAAAAATGTTATAAATTTCAATTCGTCGTTCAAATTTCGGAAAGTTTCGAGGTCAAACATGTTGGCGATTAAAAGCGAAATTAAAAATAAGACATTAAAATGAACCGACTGATCGCTAGAAATTTTTGGTTTCTTTTTTGATAAAATGAACCGACTGATCGCTAGAAATTTTTGGTTTCATTTTGCAATTTAAGTGTTTATTTTTTTTTTCGTACAACAATATGACCGATATTTGTTATTTCAGATTCAAAATGTAATGAATTTAACCAGTCTGCCGGAACAGTTTCTGCTTGGTGTTTTTAACGAGTTGTCAACATATGAGAAGATTTGCCTAAGTAAAACATGTTCTCATTTCCGAGATTTACTGTTTTATCCTTCGCTATGGAAAAATTTTTGCTTGAAAGTTGAAAGAAAGTCCAAAAAGGGAGAAGAGGAAGCAAACATAGGCGTTAAATTGTTTTTTGAAAAGATACCATTTGACTCAGTTGTCCAAATAATCTGGAAATTGAACAATGTATACTTTGAAACGTTGCTTACATTGTGTATTAAACACAAAATGAGCCTCCAACATCTTCAAATAGTAGACGAAAAACTTAATAACGAGCAAATGACCAAATTATGCGATACATTGAAGAGTGATAATGAGAATACTTCATCGTCACTGAGCCATATTGGAATCACTGGCTCTTCTGTTTTCACAGGTGATGCGCTGATGTCGTTGCAAAGTGTCTCGAAGAGTTTGAATAGCTTAGGTATGATCATGATTTCTAGTACATTCTAATTTTTTACATGTAAAGTTTATATGGTTGCCTTTTATTGCATTTCAAATTATTATATTAAAAATTAGAGTTTTGTTCATTGTAAAGCTTCTGAATATTTGCTTCTTTCTCGCTCGTGTTTGCGAGATTGCAGCATCGTCTTTTTGATAATCCGCCTGAAGCACTTGCTCAGGAAAAACAATCAATGTTTAAGAGAACGTTTTCGATTGATTACAATCATCATCAGTCTAAAAAAGGAAAAACAATAAACGTACAATCCAAAGTGTACAAACAGAATAAAATCCAAATTGAAAAACATAAAAAACAGTATAAAAATAGCACCGAGAGATCTAAAAATATATAGATATTTTTAAGCCATCTTTGAAGATACAATAAAGATGTTTTTCTAAACCTTGACTGTGAGTTCGCGCGACCTGTATTCTTCTTTTCTGTTGATCCTTGGTTTGAGTCGGTTGATGTGGAGGGCCTCAAGCGTTAAAAGTTTGACAGTGTCGTTAGATCGATCTATGATCTTTGCCACCAAATTTTCTGTGTTGCCAACGCATTGTGTCATGTGTTCACCCACTGGAGTAGAGATCCGCGAATGCTCGCTAAGGCGTGTGGTGAGGTGTCGGGTTGTCTGCCCAACATAGCTGGCACTACAGCCAGGACAAGTGATATGATACACCACATTACTACAGAGATGATTCGGGATCTTGGATTTTAGAGAGGGGACAGCAGTTTTCAGTTTCCGGGTATTGAAAATAACAGGGAGACGAGTGATATTGTTCAAACGTCTTCGAAACATCACTCACAGTGCCTCTGTATTGCAAAGTGAAAATTGTTGACAGGCCTTTGTCTTTCTTCTGCATGTCCCTGATGTTGATTTTCGGCCCCAGCAGTTTATCAATAGTTTCTCTGACGATGGGTTCGTAGAATTGGGGTGGATACTGGTTTGCTTCCCATATCTTCTTTGCCTTTTGAATACCAGTATGGAAATTGCTCCATGTCGATGTGTCATTATAGATGCGGTGAATGCAGCCCTGAATCATGTTGCGGTTGTAACCAATTGGTGCAAGGGCTCTGAAGGAAAGGATCAGTCCAGTATCTGCGGGTTTCTGATACCAACGCGTACTCACACTTGCATCCTGGCATTTTACGAACATGTCCAAAAAAGGGATACCGTTGTCTCTCAAGCTTTCGATAGTAAAATTCCAAGTTGTGATGAAGCGTCTTGACCCTGTCTAAGATGCTGTCGCTAGAGTCACTCTGCGCAGATCTCAAGATATCGTCTTCATAGCGTCCGAAGATTTTTGCTGTTTCCCTAATGGCCGGAACAGTCTCCTCTTCTTGGCACTTGGCAGACGGGACACATGGTTTTATCATCAGTCGCAGATCTTTCTTGCTCAGTATAGATGGAAGTGGTTCATCTGAGGCAATGTCATCTTCAAACCGCTTCTGTTTGAATGTCATCTTCAAACATTGGCCAGAATAACCGCCATTGCAGCACCCATTGCGACTCCATCCTTTTGAACGTACCATTTATCACCACACATGAAGTTGACATCAGTAACTGACAGTTGCATGAGTTGCTTGCATGTATCTCTGTCGATTTCAGGGACCGAGTCAGAGTTGTAAAGCACGTGGCAAGCTATGTCAATGGCCTCCGCAACTGGTACGTTACTGTAGAGACTTTGCACGTCTAAAGAAAAATTCTCCTCCTCGTCCAGCAATTGTACGTCCGTGAGTCTCTTTTTCATGTCAGTGGTGGATGTTACAATATTGGCACCAGGGACCCGACTGAACAAATTAGCAAGCCACTTGTTGATCTTATCATAGCAGCTACCAGGTAAAGAGAGCACCGGTCCAAGGGGGCTGCTTCTTTGTGTACTTTTGCCAATCCATATAACCTGGCCGGCTGGGCACCTGTAGAATGAAGGTGTTGATAGAGCGACATTGGAATCTTCTCACTGTCGGCAAATTGTTTCAGTGTTCTGTTGAACTGGTCTTCCACTTTCAAAGTAATCTTATTCTGTGAGATGGGCAAGATCTCAAATCGAGGGCAGTTTAGGATGTCATCCAACTTAGAAAAGTAGTCAGCGTCGGACATCAGGCAAAAACCAGCTCCTTTGTCGAACGGTACGGCTTTGATGTTCTCTTTCCGAAGATAGCTATTTACTTTTCTATAATTAGGGTCTTCTCTTTGTTTCTTCATTGCTTTTAGGTACCACACGGTGAGTGCGTTCACTTCATTCAACTTGTCATTCTCCATATTATTAGTTTTCAAGTTGTAGAGGAGACGATCCACATCTGCTAAGAAGTGTAAGTCGTTAAACTTGTCGCGCACTGGGTGTTTCGGAGCCAACGATAAGTAGTCAAGCACTAGATCTGGCACTTTGATGTCTCCCACAATCCTGACAGTTTTATTTACATTTTGGAGGGGTTTTTCTTGTTCGCTGGAAAGACTCTCAAGCTTTCTGCGGTGCCGATCTTTTAATTCAGACACCAGTTCGCGCATGTACTTTCTTGTATGGAACATTATGGAAGGGCAGTGGACTCAGAGACGTGCTTGAGAAACTTATTGCGTGCGTTACCAAGTTTCTCTTTGACTACTAGGACTCGAGCACTGGCAGTGCTTATCTCTTTCTTCAATAGTTTCCTGTGGAAGTTATGAACGATGGTAGGCTCAAAACAACCGTTGCTGGGAATACGGAACTTGAGAAGTAGTCAGCGTCGGACATCAGGCAAAAAACAGCTCCTTTGTCGAACGGTACGGCTTTGATGTTCTCTTTCCGAAGATAGCTATTTACTTTTCTATAATTAGGGTCTTCTTTTTGTTTCTTCATTGCTTTAATGTACCACACGGTGAGTGCGTTCACTTTATTCAACTTGTCATTCTCCATATTATTAGTTTTCAAGTTGTAGAGGAGACGATCCACATCTGCTAAGAAGTGTAAGTCGTTAAACTTGTCGCGCACTGGGTGTTTCGGAGCTAACGATAAGTAGTCAAGCACTAGATCTGGCACTTTGATGTCTCCCACAATCCTGACAGTTTTATTTACATTTTGGAGGGGTTTTTCTTGTTCGCTGGAAAGACTCCCAAGCTTTCTGCGGTGCCGATCTTTTAATTCAGACACTAGTTCGCGCATGTATGTTCTAGTATGGAACATTATGGAAGGGCAGTGGCCTCAGAGACGTGCTTGAGAAACTTATTGCGTGCGTTACCAAGTTTCTCTTTGACTACTAGGACTCGAGCACTGGCAGTGCTTATCTCTTTCTTCAATAGTTTACTGTGGAAGTTATGAACGATGGTAGGCTCAAAACAACCATTGCTGGGAATACGGAACTTGAGAAATCGTGGGGTCAAATCGTTTCTCAGACAAGAGTGAAGGAAGTCAACACGGTACTTGTTATGTATGTGCTTACGCAAGCTACGTTGATATCGCACAAAATATCTCAAAGTGTCGTTTTTCTTCCAGATTCTCGCCAAGTATGGTAGAGGGACAAGTAAATAGACCATGTTCAGAGAAGCAAAAACACAGATAAAGAACCAGACAAGCACGGGACAGAGAACACGACGGGCGCAAAGAACGAGCCTGCGCGCCTCCGAGGAGCCGAGCCCCTCTGGAGTCAACAAAGGCACGAAAGAAAAAACCGCCTTACCTCTACTGTGTTCCTGCTTTCTTCTTGTTTCGACTTTTCTTAGATAGTTTCCGTTTCTTCGACCTCGACTTTTTCACCAGTTGTTCTAGTTTGGACTGAAATCTTAATATAAGGGATACAAATGTCAATTCAATATGCTGATTTGGGTGAAGTACATTCAGTTCCTCTTTGTATTCAGGCTTCCTCAGATTCCTTTTTGATGACAAGAGTCGTTTTGTGTGCAAAACTAAAATACCAGTTGTCACCAGCGCTTCGAAGATGTCTTGCGTTCCACACCGTCTCGTGTATATGATACACTTGATCCCGTTCTTGAACTGCAAGAGGATCTGAAGCAACTTGTTTACGTCAAGTGCAGTGTTGTTATTGCTGCGGTGTTTAGAAATCGAATTGTTAATGACGTCGTGCCAAATAACGATATTAGACACTTCCTTCAAATTTCCTTTCACCAGCAGTTTCTGCAAGGCTTTCCTGAAGAACTTCGATTGATTCTAAAGGATTCTTTGCACGGAGTATGGAGGGAATGCGGGCGCCTTTGTACCCTAAGATTAGGAGGGTAGATTTTAATTGACAGTTCTCTGGATGCTTCAAAATCGACTTGATTTGTTCATAAAAGTTTGCCGATGTTTTTATATAGCGTTGATATGACCCTATCCAACCTATGCAAGGACCGTTGCATGACCGAAAGGCCCATTTTAATTGACCCCTTTTTTTACACAAACAGCGACGAGCAGATTTATGATTTTCTGTCATATTTTCCCGATAATCGATTTGCCAGCGGGAATTTAGACTTTCGGGAATTTAAAAATTTGACAGCGGGAATTTAAAAATTTCATCTCGCTAGCCAATTAATGCTTTTTCATTGCTCTCTTCTCTTTTTTAATTGCTGCTTTTGAGGTGTCTGAAACGTTTCGCAGAATATAGTTCATTCTTTTTCGCAGGCGGTCTTGCTGGCTTTGGAGGCTCGATGCTGGCTATGATAGGCACGGCACAATCACAACGAGGGGTGTCTTTATATAGAGATTCTGCCCATAAAGACATTTTCGGTTCTGAGGTCCCGTCAGAAAGTCTCATTTTGTCCATCTGTGGCGATATCTTTTTCTCATTGTTTACGGGTTTTCTTACTGGGAGTATCAAGTTGTTCAATATCGTTCGGTTTTTTTGGTTTTTTAAATATTATTTAAAAAGTTAATACTATTTTTTGGTTGTGTTTTTAATGAATGCTACTGCATAACATAATGTTTGCCATTCAGGATAGGCGTTAGTAGATATATCTTATACTATGTGTATCCTCGCTCAAATTGAATTGTTAAATAAAGAAAGAAAAAATTTATTTCTCAAAATAATTGTTCAGTAAGGTTATAAAACATCAGATAATAAGACTTGGAGAGGACAACCAGTGGGATCCTAGGATCCATCAAGCGTCCGCGCTAAAATGTTTTGAAAGTTAACAATTTTAAAAAGAAACCAGGATAGCCGTTTACTGTGCAAGTAGCACAGAATATTCCGACCATAGCCTTTGAAGAAGTTTTTTTTTCCCCAAAAAGCATTAAATCTCCAAAAACTAATTTTACTGGAGAAAAAATAAAATTAAGCATAAATAAGCTATTGTAAACGGCCTAAATTAAGAAATTAAGCAGAAGTAAGCGTGATATATCACTCAACCCAGTCCGATGATTATTTCTGGTAGCTGAATTTGCGCGGAAAATGAAAAGAAAAAAAACAAAAAAGCAGACCCGCATACAAAGTTCCTCCCCATTTTCAATGGTCGGAACAAAAATTAAGAAACAAAAACGTGTCTTTTTAAGAGCAAAAAAATCTTAATCATCATGCAAACATACATAGAAAGCAAGCAGAGCCGGGATCAAATGTTTGTCGGTATCTATCACGCTACAAAAGTCAGCACTTATGTAATAAAAATAGAGAGACGAACCTTTTTACTGAACAAACGCGTTTATTTTTTTTTTACTTTTCGAAGTTTTGAATAATGTTATTTTTGAAGCCTCGAAGTGATTTTAACAGGATCTAAAGGACTTCACTAGCTACGTGCACGTTTTCCATGTTTAAGCGTTTGTTTTGCCCTTTAATCAAATTGAAAGTTTTTTTCAACGTTTTTTCTTTTGGATATACTGAGAAAATTTCTTGCAGGTGCGATATCTGTTACTTCATTTTATTTTTAATTTATGTTGTATAAATTGAGTAGAGTATTACCTTTTCAATGATTTTTTGCGCTACAGCAAAGCGAACTCTTTTTCATTTTCTACGAGAATTTGCAAAAAATAGATTTATGATAATAACTGTTTAATAATAAAGTAAACATAATGTGGTTCCTGCGAATCGGAGGGGAGCTATCAGTTGGCCTTAACATTCCTATCAAGGATAGTCCATTTGTATTGTCTCCACACATTCCAGACTGTGTTATTTTGTTGAGTGGATCTCGTTTTTGCGACTCAAGGCCGTTTTTTAGCGTCTAGAACTTTCACGTGGTACCACTATTGCAGCCGAAATTGGCCATGCTGTGGTAGACCTGACGCTAGAGGTCAAGTGAGAGTTCGTCCTCACACACTATCATTGCCATAGCATGGGATCGAATACTATTTCAAAGTCAACGCCTTACCACTATGCTAAGGCTGCTCGAGTGGTTCAGCGCAATCAATGGTTTCATCTGAAAAATTTGTTGCAAACAGATGGTAGCAAAAATTTGTGCGAGAATGTGGATTTCGGTTTGCAGTTGTTTTTGATTCTATTGACACCTAAGACTTGATAAAGCAGTTTTGTGCATTTCAGATTTCTCCTACACGAACCGAATCAGCGATGAGCAGTTTTATGGTTTTTTGTCATGTTTTCCCGATAATCAGTTCATCAGCGTGAATATAGACAACGTGAATTGGATCGAAAACAAATCAATCTGTCTACTGACGGAAAAGAACAGCATGTCACTGCAGTTTCTGAACATTGACGGAGAAAGCAATACTGACGCTGTGTTCGATTGGATTGCAAAATGTTGCAATCTAAAATCTCTAATTGTCAATTTTGCTCAGGGGCTTACCGATGAAGCGTTAAACAAGCTGTCATCGTCTCAAATTCTACACGAAATTTGTCTGAGAAAGGGCAACAATTTCACTAACGAAGGATTGTCGATTTTTCTTTCAACTTTAGATTTCTCTCAACTGCAGGATTTGAATCTTTCAGAATGCAGCAATTTATCAAACGGTGGAGCCTTTTTAATTGCGACTAATTGTCCAAATTTGAAAAATTTATCACTCTGTTGGTGCTGGGAAATTGACGAAACTGGAATTATACCAATTGTAACTACCTGTAATAAAATGGAAACTATGGATTTAACTGGCATGCATCAGCTAACAGGAGAGTGTTTTCTGCTCATTCCAGAAACAATGCCAAATTTGCGACATTTGAAACTGGAAATGTGCAATAATATCCAAGATGATATTTTAAATATGATAGTTATAAGAATGAAGGGTAAACTGGAGGTTATAAATTACTACTTTGAAACTATTGTTTATGATGATATTAGCAACGCCGATTATTTGGAAACTATGTTTATGTTGAGCGAACTGAATTCGGTCGGAGCAGAAATTTCAGATGATTAATTGTAAATTGTAAATACTAATTTTGTTAAGTCTTGTAGATCAGTTGGATTCAAAAATCGGTATGAGGCCAAGCTCGTTTTTTTATAGGAATCACAAAGTAATGAGATGCATTTGCGATCTGATCTTCCTTTCAGCCAATCAGAATCACAGCACAAAGTCATATTCTCCAATGCGATCAAATACGGATTTGAACATACTTTGATAGTCTATTCGTGATTTGTGTGTGTGTGTGTGTGTGGGGGGGGGATATGTTTAGCTCTTAGGCATCTGTGTTAGTTAGGATAGAGCAACTATATGTTATCTTTTTACTGTTTCAGATTGCGAGATGAGAGCAAGCTAACCACGGATGAAAACACAAAACTTGCTCCGTCAAATCTGCATTGGAATTTTTGTCTTATAAGTAGACAAGAATGAAGAGTTAAGGTATGAATTGAAGCGAATAGTAACATTGTGTGGTTTGGCGATGGTGATCAAGATGGAATTGTGCCACTTCATATCCGACCATCAAGCAAAAGAGGTAAGCTTCGGGACCATTTTTTTAAACAAATTTTCAGCCAAGCTGAATGCATTATTTTATGTACACTTCACATAATTACCCTGGAATTGCGTTTAGTAATTGTAAGACAACTAATCAATTAAGCCATGCGAGACGCACGAAAATGGACATTGTTTGTCTAATGGAGATCTCGTAAGTTGGGGTTTTTTATGATAAATTATTGATCATATAAATGATTTTTGAAAAAGTTTTATGAAAAGTTTCATTATCCTCCATTTATTTCATATTTATCCATTTAAAGAGTTCAATTCTTTCTTTCTTTGCTTTTTCTTTTTGGATCTGTTTTAAAATTACCCCTCTTCCCTTCAAGGAGGGGGGCAATTGTTAAGTGAGTTAAGTTAGTAGAATTGATTGAATTTGATTAAATTTGAAATGATTGAATTTGATCAAATTTGAAATGATTCAATTTGAAATGATTAAATTTGAAATGATTGAATTTGAGTAAATTTGAAATGATTACAGTTGAAATGATTGAATTTGGAAGGTACTGAAAACAATCTTTTTAATTATTGCATCACAGTCTTGATTGGGTTCATTCTCCAATCCAGGTGGTGCGATCTATGAATCAGCTGCGTAAGTTAAATGCTCTGTGTGACGTGGAACTGGTGGTGGACTTCGAGAGGTTCCCAGCCCACAGAGTGTTGCTGGCCTCCTGTTCAGACTACTTCAGGGCCATGTTCACAAACACAGTCAGTGCTAGTCTTTTTCATAGCGATAGTTTTTACTCAATTAAAAGGCGGACTTAAAACAAATTGTTCTAAGGTATTTTTTTTGTGTGTGGTGTTTTTGAACCTTTTTCAATCAAATTAGTGTCTGGATTTCTGAATTTGACCTGTTTAAAAAGCAGTGTTTAATAAATCGTTATGTTATTTTTATTGTTTAACGACCAAATGTTGTCATCTGGACCTCTGAAATTGAAGAAGAACTTCAGATCAAGGAGTTCTGTTGAATTTGTGGTCTGCGATATATTGTATGCATCGCTGTTGACACAAAAGATATCGATATGACATTAATGTCGTTGATTAAATTCAGAGATGTTTAAATATATTTTTTTCTGGTATATTGGTTTTGATTACTTCTGGTAAATTCGAGAATCTCCGAATAATTGTAATCATAATCGGAGTCAACGCAATAAATTTTTGATACAAAGTTTGTATTCAGATGTGCGAGTCTGCTCGCACGTCAGTTCCGATCAAAAATGTCTCTCCTTGTGTGATGAGGATCATCTTGGACTATGTCTATGCGGAGTCTATCACCATCAACGCAGACAATGTGCAGGAACTACTCCCCGCTGCCTCCCTCTTGCAACTACACTGTGAGTTCCCTCACCTGAAAAAAAAGAAAAGAAAATTTGAATTATAAAAAGACATTGTGATCAGGAATTGAGTTAATTATATCAAAAATAATGTCAAAAATGAAAATTTCTAGAAAGTGAATCAGATTTTAAAAAAGGTATATTGTTCGTGTTTCAAAGATGAAAAATAAAAATCGGCAATGGTCATGGTTTTTTTACCCTTAAAATAATTTAATCAAACGGTTTATTGGCTAGTATGCAATAATTGCAGTGGTAATCGCCAAAATATAGTGAGCTCAGAAATTTAGGACAGGTTTTGCAGTGTTTCAAGGTGCTAAACTCAATTTTAAATTTGAAGCATTTCTTTGATGTTATCGCTTTTATCGGATCGAAGAGGAAAAAGCTTTCAAATTACTAAGTAAAACAGTTAAATGGTCGATTTTTTGTTAGTACGTTGAAATTTGTCAATAAACAAATAACTTCTTCCGTGCAGCTAAATAACCCCTTCAGCTCACATAGCACGTGGGAGCGAAAGATCTAAACTACCCCAAACGGATAACGGAGGATCGCACCAAATCGCAAGAACAATTCAGTCGAGTCCAGTATTAAAACAACTTTCAAGTACCCAACTATAGTGGCATGCTCTACCTATCACGTCCGGGGCCAATAACACTGGACTATGGGCGAGACGAAACTACTAACCCAAAAATATAATTGAACCCATTATAATCTACAATCATTATAATTCAGAAAAAAGACACTAAATCATCTAGCAATAATAAAATGTTAACAGAAAGTAATAACAGTTTAACAATAGTCAGTGAACAATGGAATATAGGTGTAACTTAATTCACGCAATATCAGGTACCAGACAATATCGGAATGGGCTGACTGATATATCATATTAAACGGTCGTGATTTAAACGGTTTGAAATTGTTGATTATTAGTTATATTTTGATGGAATAAATTGTGCGAGAGTGCTTGTTATAGGCGTGTATCTTTTTATCTGAACTGCGAAATGTTTGTTCTTGTCGTTTTTTCAGTGAGAAAATTTTTGTGCCTTTTTGGAAAAAAAATTCTATGAAATCAAAAAAAAAATTTCTACAAAAACAAAGTATTCTGTTAAGTGATACAGCAAAGTAGTCTTCTGTTTTTCGATTAGAATTTTTGGTTAAAACTTTTTGTTATAGAAATTTTGTGCTATTTACACAGCAAACGCTTATCCGTTATTATCAATTGTTTTACGGAGCTTACAATAATTTCTTAATGCCTGTCAAAATAGTTATGGTTTTATTATTTGTTCCAGCCATTCAACAAGCTTGCTGTGAATTTTTGGAACGGCAACTGGACTCATCAAACTGTCTAGGCATCAAAGCATTCGCAGACACTCACAACTGTACTGAGCTGTCCCAGTCAGCCGAAAAGTTCATCTGTCAGAATTTTGTCGAAGTCATCAAACATGAAGAATTTCTGAATTTGAGTAAAGAAGATTTGGAGGGATTGATCAAACGTGAAAACATTGCCGTGAGTAAATCTGAGATTGTACATCTTTCTAGACTAATTTGCGATACCATGGTGGCAGAGGGTGAAGACACGAACTGACCACTAGCTCAATAAAGATCGTGACCGTTTTTTCTCGAACAATTTGGCTGCAATTTTTATTGCAATATATATTTTTTCAAGCTTTAAGGACTTTTTTTCAAGCTTTAACGACTTTTTTTTCAAGCTTTAACGACTTTTTTTCAAGCTTTCAAGGTTCTCAATTGCTATGAAGGTACCTGTAATATGACTTCTATTTAATACATTTTTACAAAATATAACATTATAATGGTGTTTTTTTTCGAGGTAACAGTAACGAACTGATATTCACTTCAATAGGTCTTGATGATTTTTTTTTCAAGAAAGTCTTCAAAAACGTTTTCACGCTCAAATTGATTTTTCTCGGTTTGAAATGATTTTTTAAAATTTCTTTTCGTTTAACTGTTAAATGAAGGTAAATTTCTCTATCGAGCAGCAAAAGTGAAATGGTCACGATGAACAAGAATGGCTTCGTTTCAAAAATGGGTTCAATTTTTTGAATTCCCAGCGCAACAAAAAAGTTGCATATTGACCCAGTTTCCTCTAAATGGGTTAACCTTACAAAAAAGTTCCAATCGTAAATAGTATATGAAATTCAAAGAGCTTTCAAATTGGTGTAAATTTTTTCGAAAGTTGAAAAATTTTCGATTAACTTTTTTTTCGTTTCCATGTTTTTTTTAACACTTTTCCTACTGTTTTTTTTGGCTATGTTAGAAGATTTTGATTCCAACC